TATTGCAAGGGCATAGGCTGAGGACACATTTGCAGTTGGTGCATGCTCTACCTAGATGAAATGAATAGTAAAGAAAGAAAGAAAAGGCAGCCTCTGGCTTCTTTACTATTCATTCCATCCAGGAAGAGCACATACCAACTGCAGAGACTTCCTCAGCCTGACAAAGGGTTTTTAAACCTGAAAGCTTGCTAAAAAAAAATTTCCAACTATTTAAGTTGGTCTAATAAAAGATATCAGATTCACCCAAAGAACCTTGTCTACCCATGTCCTTATACCAACATGGCTACAACCTACACCCCTGGTGAAAATAATAGCATGGAATGAGAGCTGTCTGAATGGCAATCAAGACAAGAGTGAAGTGAGTTTGGGGACCAGAGGGTAGACTTCAAGACGGCAATCTGGGGCCATTTTGAACTCTGAGCTGCTCCTAGATTCTTAAAAAGAATCTGCTGCTTATCTGTGCATGGTAAAGAGGTTGCTACTTTTTCCTCTTTGAAGCAGACTTTGCCACAGCTGGTCACATGTTCTGTTACTACTGCAGCCATTCCACAAACGTTCACATCTTCGCTTTCATCCAATAAATTCATTCTCAAATAATCTGTTATTACAAAAGCCTTCTCATTATGTGAAATGAATGTATTGAAAAATAAGATCACTATAAATATGCAATTCAGATATCAACTGGATGAAAATCCTAAGAGACTGATCAAAGAATATGTAAGTAATCTCATACATTTAACAAGTGTATTGTTAAGACTCAAAATCTACTTGCCTCCATAGACATCATCCATACAGATAATACCATCTCCTGCCTTTAATAGATGGGCAATAGTCACAGTTGCTGCTGAACCTGAAGCATAAGCTAAACCTAGAAGAGAAAAAAGAATTAGCATGGCAGAGAAAAGGCACTTTTTAATAGATCTGTCTTTAAGTCAATGTATAAATATTTTTCCTCTAGTTTTCCTTTCTAAAGAAACAGGACCTGCCACACACAGCAGTCTTCACAAGGAGCAGTGATGACAAAAATCTGATTATAAACTATTGGTCTCAGTCCAATTCATTCCACTGACCGCAACAGTATTACACTAGGATGAATCTGATCCACAATATTAGACTCCAGACTCTTGTTTCTCTCTGATTTACAAAGATTTAAAAGCAGAAACAATTCACTCTTACCAAATGAAATTAATCCTTATGGCCAAATGCCCAGGTATATTTTAACAAAAAAGTACAGAGCAGCAAAGTAACTCACAACTAAAGGCTGACAGGAAAATCTGAGTTAACTGTTTTAATGCTCAAGCTCAGGTTCTTTTCTCTTCACAAGGTACTTTTATATTCTAGCGCTTCCCAAATTGTGGGGAAGTTCCCAGGGAGGGCATAAAGCCAGGATGGTGGCAGAGGAAGCAGCAGCAGTTAGAAGAGGAACATCTACAGCAAGGGAAACAGAGGAGGAGTGACTGTAGTGTGGCGAGATGTAAACCTAAAAAGTTTTGGACATGCTACACTAGCCCATTCTGAAGAGAGACGCATGCTGATGTAGTGCTTAATGAAGAGGTTGCTGGCTTACAGTATTTGGCTCCATCCAGTGCTGCAACCGCCTTTTCCAGGCAATCTCTTGTCGGGTTTCCACTACGGCTATATTCAAAACCCTGTTAAAATAAGAAACAAACATAACTTAACAGTGAGTGATGGGGAAAATGGAAGAAGTTATACACAATATTATTACAGTCAGACTTATGTTAGTAATCACCTGTCTTAAAGTTTCATCAAATCCCAGACTTGCCAAGAGATCCATATTTCCTCCACTGAATTATGCATCTGCCTCTAGTAACAATTTGGTAACAACAGCTATTACGAGCTCTTGTACATATCATTCCACAGAAACCTACCACCTTCACCCCATCAATTTAAGAGACAGTCCGTTTGCAATCAAAAGTAGCGTTCTCACAAGTTCTAGTAAATCAGTATTCTGAGGCCTAGCCTAATTTAGCTGGTGCAAGTCAGATGTAACCTCTGTTCATTTGTCTCACACTGAAAAACTATTTTTTCTTCTAAAAAATGGCTCTATAGTTCAGCTCCAAGCTAGATCCTTAGCTGGTGAAAACATGGACAGTTCTACCAATTTCATGAAGCTATAGCCATTTTCACAAGTTCTCCAGAATTGGAGCTATATGTCCAAATCACATACAACTTTTAAAAAAGACCATTTAGCATGCAAAATCTGGATGTATTGTATGTGACTGAAGTGCAGTCTGTATCTGAATGAAGATAGAAATAAAAGACATTAACTTTTCTGCCATTTAAAATGTTCAACTTTTGCAAGAGATTAACTAATTTTGATTTTTTTCTGCCTGCCCAGTGTGGGCAGGCAGCCCGTAGCGGGCATGGATCAGGCCAGGGCTGGGGCTGTGCACTGGTGGTGGTGGCAGGGAGGAGCTGCAGGATGTGCAGGCTCTGAGCCATTGGGGGTACCAGCTTATGGCAGCAAGTTCTTGAACTCAGCAAGTTCAAAAAGGCCTGCTGCCAACCTGTGTGCCACCCTCCTCCCACCTCTTGATTCTTCCCAGCTGGTATAGGTAAGAATCTATGTTGTGCTGTCATGAGTAGCCAGACAGACCTTGGGATAAATGTTTTTTTTGTGTGTTTTGAAATGCAAGCAAATAAAAGGTTGGGCTGTAGACCTTTTTCTGCCTCTTTTATCAGTAGCCAATCTGCAAGGTTACCAGTAATCTGGGTAACAACATTATGCTATACTATACATTAAGCACCTACAACTCCAGTTGACTTCAAAGGGGCCCAATAAGTACCTCTCTGGATCAGGCCCACATATTGTGTAATTGGACTTTGGTTCTGCATCTGTTTAAATTAATGACAAAACTCATGTGGACTTAAATGGTGAAAGATCAAGTCCTTGAATCAACACTGAATCCCATTACACTGATCTAGGATACAGGGTTACCTCAGGACTTCTGCATTACTGTCTTATATTGAGGCCAAGCTGGTGATCATGCCTTGGAACAAATATTTAAACACCTGAACCAACAAACTAAAATAACTCCAAAACCACTTACCAGGCCCCAAATCAGACAGAAAGGTGAGCTTACCTTTTCATTACCACAACAATTTTTGAAAGCCATGGAATTGTAATTCTGTCTGAAAACTTAGGATCTCTACAAAGACCAAATATTTTCAAAAGTCCTCATAAATCCATATTTGCATGTTGGGAAGCCCTACCAATAAGCCTAATATTTTTCATGTTGGAGTTCTGAAGAAATTCAACAAGAAAAAATGAATTGTTGTGGGGAAAAGTCAGTTTAAGCATCCTGATTTCCTTCATCATATTCAGGATTCAGATAGAAGCCCACATACATCAGAGAGAAACTCTGAAACTGCAGTAAGAATGCGACACAGAGTTAGGTGAGATATATATTCTATGAACCACTTGTGTTTCTGTTTTCCAGCTGAGCATAAACAGGTTATGACTACCTGTTTTGTTATTTTGGCTTATTTAGTTAATTATTATTGGTCTGTTTCTCACTCCCAAGTATTTGAAATTTAAGCAGTGTAATTTACTTTAAATGGATTTACAGATCACATGATCTGCTTCCATGTACCCAGCTGGGTATGTACAACACTAAAAATGAGAGGTTAGAGTGAATACTCATATTTAACAATTTAAAATTTAGTTTTTATTTGCCTAAGCTTACACAAAATTTTTAACTTCCACGAATACTTCTGGTCTGCCAGCATTCTGTTTCTGCCAGTATTCTTGAGAATATTTATGGCACGTTAGCAGGAAAGGTTTGCAAGCACAAGTGAAAAAAATATTTAACAATCTGAAATAAAAGAAGGTTTGTTTGCAGCATGTGGCCAAGTCTGGCAACCAAGCTGAACACTGCAATGAAATTTCAGATAAAGAAGATGTTCTGCTTGGCCACACACCATTATAATAAGCACCAGAACATTCAGCTGCTTATAAGCTTCTTGACATCAGAAACCCTTTAAAAAAATCTACAACCCAACACCCACACTTATACTAAAAGGGAGATTTTCAAAGGCACAAAAGGATTTGAGGTACCCAATTCCAACTGGCTCAATTTGAAAATCTCATCTATAGACAGTACACTTTTTAGCACACCATACAGAAACCTATAATTTTGCCTGTGGAAAAAATCATGCTACTGGTTTATTTGTTTTCTAAAAGTTAGTAGTAGTACGCAACCATCAATTCTGTGGATTATGTTATATATATACAGAGATTCAGATGCCAGATGAATCCGTTTGTGGCTGACAAGCTCAATTTGAGAGCAAAAAGACCCAGCTTGTTAGAAGTTTCACAGATCCACATGTTGCCTGAGCTGGAGTCCAAGTTTACAGCATGCTGCTTTCTTCTTTCTCACTATCCTTCCATCCTCTAGATCAAAGCTACTCATATTGAGCTGCACCTAGTGCCAGATATTCCCTGGCTTTAATTCCCTGGTTTAATGAAGAATGTGTTATCATTTTTGCACAGAGGGCAACCCTGCTTTCTAAAGCCATCTCAAATCTCACTATGCAAAATATTCTTGGGGATACAGTCTTCTCCCATTCTTCTGACATGGACAACGTATCACAATCTTTTCTTCTAGATAGTGGTTTCTAAGAGCATCAGTCCTGTGTGCTCCGTTACCTCTGTAGTTGGTATTCTGTCTTCCCATTTTCAGGATCTTATGCAGGCACCTCATGTGGAAGCTGTTGAGTCTCTTTATATGTCTAGCATATGTAGTCCACATTTCTGAAACATAATGCAGGGATGACAGCACACAAGTCTCATAGAATCATATCTTTACCTTAGTTGGTAGTTTGCTTTTATTCTGTGCACATTTCTGCAATAGCCCACAATGCTTAACTGATTTTATGATTCTGTTAGTCAGTTCAGTCTGACAGTCAAGATTCCTGCTGACTGTAGAACTCACCTAGCCAAAACTGTCAATGACACCAAGAGTTTTATCCTCCAGAGTGGTGTCAGGTATTGGTTCTTCCACCCCTTGGTACATGATCATTCTTTTTTAGACTAACTGCCATCCAGAAGCTCTTGCATGACTCAGAAAATTTGCCCAAGAGATTTGGCAGGGAAGATGCACTGCAGGCAACCAAGGCCACATCATCTACAAAGAGGAAATCTCTCAGAACCAGTTCTTTTTCACTCTAAACCTTGCGATGTCGAACAAGCCTCTATCTACTTTGGTTCAAAGATAATTGCCATCATTGCTGTCCTTGAATGGATGAAGAAGCAGGAATGAAAAGTAGAAGTTAAAAAGCAGGGGGCTAAAACACAACCTTGTTTCACCTGATTGTTGATGTCTAAGGCATTTTGTTTTCGTACACTATAGCTGCCTTGATGTAATGAGTGAATGATGCTCAATAGTTTGGGGGGGGGGGGG